CAAGATGATTTTGGCTGTATTTTGAACACCCCCTTGCTTCATAGACAGTGTAACAAACATTCATACATTGTCCAAGATTTGCACTCAGGCCCTTCAGAATGGCAGTTAGCATCACTAACCGCAATCCTCTCTGGGGGGTCATAGATCTACCAGAGGTTGTGAAGCAATACTTTACCAAGAGTAAAACCTGTCTGTAGAGACCAATTTTTTTTTTTTTTTTTTGTAATGTAAATCCCTGTCTCATTCACACAAGAAACGAAATTAGTATGGGTAACTCTTTTCTGATCTCAGCAAAATTGTAATAACCGTAGAGTGCCAGCAAATTTGTTGCTCAAATCTACTGTATTTCAGGTATCAATGAATGAATTACTTTCATGTTCTCATTATGTTTCCTCATGATCAACTGCAAGCACTGAACATTATTGGTATACAGGAAAGATGCTTTCAAAAAGAACTTGGAAGAATTGATGAAAATTCTTTAGTCTTCTATCTTATGTTATATATGCATCAAACAAAAAGACCTTTAATATTAATCCATACAGTCAGATCCTCTTTTGTTTTAAATAATGGTAGAAATTCTTTATATCTGTAGTGAGAAGTGAATATTTTCACATCATTTGCTAGGTGATTCCATTTTTGTTGCCAATAAGTCAGCAATTCTGCTTTATATCTTCAATTATGTTTGTGTATCTTTATGATCAATAATTCAGCTATCCCACAAAAGGTAACATTTTTGCTTTTTGTACTGTAGATTCCCATGTCTCAGTGGTGATTTTGTGTATTTTGAGTAGCTGCAATTTCCACATCATGGTGGCTCTAGGTGTGCTTTTTACACACCTAAAAATCACTTTTATTGATCCTATTAAGTGATTTCTTTGTATATTCCAATATTGACATGTCTCTGGGGCATTGTCAGGTACCAAGCAGTATATCCTTACATAATCAGATTGTGATAGAAACACCTATTTCCTATTCTATTACACCAAAACAAAAGCCAATCAAAAATTTTTAGTCATTTTCATGATCAGCACATCCAAATTATTAAAGACTGGGCACTTTCACTGATGTAACAAAATGTGCATAGAATCACATAATCTGCTAAGCTTCCATTTTTACAAAATTATTTACATTCTTTCTGTATAGATCATGTTGGACCAAAAATTTATTCAAACTATTTTATTTACAGCTGAAATAAAGAAGAAAAAATTAGTAGAATCTTTCCAAATGCTGAAGAAAAGTGGAAAGTTAGAAAAATATTTGGAACGGAAGAGGAAGAAAATGTTTTCAAAGGACAAAAAACGATTTTTTAAATAAAGCATTTATAACAATAAATTGGGCATCCTGTCTTTTATTTTCTAACAGTTTTCTTTTTGCATTGATGTTCAAAATTCAAGCATTCAGATTTGAATTGAGTAATATCAACTAACATGAATAAATTGTTATTTGTATTACTTTCAAGTACTTTCAAGTACAAGGACTGAAAAAAATTACCTGCCATTAACATTTAACTAAAAAAGGTGTAAAAATGGTAAATTTTGAAACTAAAAGTTGTTCATAAACATGTTGCTCCATATACATAAATTTGGAGACCTAAAAATAATTCAATGAGGATTTGATTATATAAGTAGCTGTATGTGTGTGCTTGGTACATATTTTTTCGAAGACAATTATTTAGTAATTGTAATAGTAATTAATATACATATATATTGTTTTAATATTTTAATAAGAAAAGTTTAATTTTGGTTATTAATTTAAACCAGGGTTTTTTAAACTGTGGGTCACGACACCTAAGGGGGTCACAGGACCTGTAGCAGGGGGTCACCAAAAATTTTAGCAGTTTTGATATTTCTTTAACTTACTATAATAATTTTACAATTACCAAATATTTTTACACAATGTATCTGAAAATAGATAAAGAAAAAAATGAAAACATTTTGACGCATTCTTTTTATAATATAAACGTTCATTTTCCTTCCTTTACACGTGGTGCTGTCATTTTGTCTGTTACTTATTTAAAATTTTCACATTGTTCCATGTCTTAAAATTAGAAATTAAAGTTAATGACCTAAAACTGCAATAGCATATTACAGTACAAGTGAAAAAATTGACAGTTTCATTCACGCATGTGTTGGATTTGTGCAGTACTTCTGAGGTCCCACAAAATTGTTGTAAATATTATGAGGTCCTGGGAGTCGCAAAAAAATCTCAGTGATAAGAGGGGGTCATGACTGAAAATAGTTTAAGAAACCCTGATTTAAACTAATGAAAAAATAAGTCTTAGGTTGGAAAAAAAAATTGAATTTTTTTTCCCTAAATTAGAATTTGTTGGCAAGCTTATTGATATTTAATTTTATAGCTTACAAAATATATGTTTTGTTAAAATTCAGCGATATTTTTTAAAGTTTTTATACGGAATTCATTAATGCAAGATGAAATTTCTTTGTAATAAATTTTAGAAAAATGATATATTATGCAAAAATATATTTTTAAGTTAAGTAAATGGTTTGTGATTAATTATAAGTTTTTGCTAATTTATGTGCATTTATAAGGCATGAAATTAGTTACATTTATGATGTATTGATGATAAAGTTTTTCAGCTAATCTGCATAAAAATAATAATTTTTTTAAGAAGTCATTAATTCATTAATTTATCATTAGCTAGGACTTTATTTAGCTAATGATAAAAATATTTACAGATTTAATGGTGGTACTGCATTTTATTTTAATGAATTAAAAATAAAACAAATTAACCTTTTATGCTTGGTTCATCTACATTGCAAAATTAGAAGCTATACAAATGTGTAAACAAGCATATGGAAATGTTTGAGGCATTTTATGAGACATATTTACTCTAATAATTTAGTAATGTTTATAATTAATTGAATGCTCTTTTATTAGAAGATATTGCTGTAATTAATTTTTTAATTAATGTGTTATGTCTTATATAATACAGAAAATAGCAGTAATAGTTTTCTGTAATTTTATTATATATATATATATATATAATATATATTTAAGTTATACTAGTTTTCTGTACATGTATAAAAAATTCTCCTTTAATTTTTATTCACTTATTTTGTTTGGTATTTTTAATAATGTCTATATATTCTCAAATTTTAAGGTATCTAATGAGTATCATTAGTATATTTAATTGTGTTGCTAAAATTTTTCTTCAACAACTAATTGAGAAATATGAAATTGTTTATCAGTTTTCAAGTGAATTGAAATAACACTGTACACTTATCTTGGTTCAATTACAATCAATTCAAGGTGTTATATAAATTCTGGGTGTGGGGGGAGAATTATCATGTAGAATTTCTGACTTTAAAACAAACATAGAAATATGATAACTCTAAATTTATTCTACTTCATCCCTTGTGAGGGTTAAAATAAAAGAATATAAAACCCAAATTTACAAGTCACCTGGACTGCCTTTAATGTAAACTTCCTTTAGGCAGTTATAAATTCAAACAATTTAATCTAATCCTACCAGAGGCAACAAATTTCACCAAAGACCACGACAGAGATTCAGACTTACCAATTAACTTTTAACTTAAAATGTAACTTTATCCTTGCACTAATTCAAGACAGTATCGAGTCCTCAAGAGAGAACAGAACTCTACAAGGCAAAGCAGCATTGATGGGCAGGACAAAACTATCACAAACAGCTATGTGCAGTTCTAACTTTTTAGTAAAACTGTTTGCCACTAAATCTACATATTTAGGAATGTGTGAACCTTGTGTCAAAATGTGGAAAAGGGAGGGAAAAGGTAAATTAAATAACATTTTGCTAGTGAAATATAAACATAAATGCCAAGTTAAAAAGTAATATTGGATAAGAAGGCTTATGCAGGTATTTATACATTTTTCAGAAATGCATACCACTGAGCATGTAAAAAGTCATTTTCTTAGCTTGTGAATTATTAGTTTTTAGAGTGAATCCGTCCTCCATTTTGGATAATATTAATGGAAAAGTTTATGCCTTTTAATCTTGCCACTATTTAATAAAGTTTTGGAACTTGCTGGGTAAATGATTTGTAGAATTTTATTGGAGTCCTGTCACAAGCACTATAATTGTGTAATTGGCGAGTTATAGCCTTTGATAAGCCAATAGCACAGTTCGATTATAAAGTGTTCCTATAATCATTTTAGAAATTCATCCTTTCAGTATTTAAAAGATATTTTAGGTATATGTTGTCACATATTAGAAAAGAAATTTAGGAGTCCTTTAGCAAAGCCCTTTTTGAAATTTTCATACCGTTTTAAAAAGTATTAACATAATGTTATTTAAAAAATTTTGTTGTGCTAAATGAATTGAAACATAATTATAGAATTATGGTTTTTACATATTAAGTGCATATCTTAACAGACTATTTTTCTCTTATGCTTTTAATGTTGGATTGAATCGAATAATTCCTCCCTCACCTTAGGGAGACCTAAGGAGAGGGAGGATGCATTGAAAGACTTTCTAAGGGAAATTAGCTTGTATGCTCTTTTGCTGATGGGAGGGGAGTGGAATCACGAAGATACTCATACAGCCACCAGAAACCAAACCCAGTTTGAACTGGCAGATCTTGGCAGTTTTAATCACATGATATTGGTAAGCCTTTCTAATTTGTTAGTTATTTTGCTTTTTCAACAGATGATTAGTGCTTATTAAGCAGTACCATAGGTGCTTAAGAAAAATAATTAGTGTTATTCTGAATGAAACATTTTAATGTTTTAGGCAGATTGAATCTAATATTTTTTACATAAAACAAGATTATAAGGACTAAACTTGAAATCTTAATTACTGCTGTGATCTATTAATTCAAATTTGAAATTTAAAAATTGTTTCAGCTTATTTTTTTGACATTGTATGAAGTTTCGAATGTGGTATTGTAATAAATACATACTTTGGAAAATATTTAAAATCCATTTTGCAATGTGTTTGTCTTGGTGCTATTAATAAAAGGAAAATTCATTGTGCTGGCTGGAATAATAGAAAGTTTGTGCCAGTCTAAAGAAAATCTATAAATCTAGTACATGTAGGTGCTTGCTTTACTTTTGTTAAGCTTCAATATACTTGAAACGTAGCCAGACATTATAGTTAGGTTTGGCCTATGTTCAGGGATATTTCAAAAATATTGAACTATAAATTTTAGCATTAACTTTGCCAGTGATTTTGCCTTTACATTCTTGGATGACATTTGTGTGTCAGGATTAGTGTTCATTCCCATCGCTTCTAGTGGTGACCATGCACCATAACTTTATCTCACAGTTTCTTGTGTGGGCTAGTGTGATTTAAAGCATTAATTTTGTTATATCTTGGTAATTATTATCTGCTACTTTTTTGAAAATAATCATTCTTTTGGGCTGTTAGGAAATTTCTGACCATCTCGAAATGTTCTTTGTAAATATGCATATTAAATACTCAGTCATTAAAAAAATTGTGGAATTGTGAATACTCGTGTGCCAATTTTATGAAGGGGCGCATCGCTGTTTGTCATAATGTTGGAGCAACAGTGTTAATTCTATTTTCCTAGCTTAAGCCCAGTTTTCATGAAGAATAGTCTGGGAATAGAATCTGAAGTAACTCGTACCTTTCTCTCCCTTCCACCAACTTCTCAATAGGACTTCCGGATCGATGGAGTTTCAAGTGCCATTTTTTTTTTACACAAATACAATAGTGACAAACATCTATACATAGGGCAGTATTTTTAATGTGGAGGAGAGGAGCAAAATTTGTGGTGAGATTGCAGGAGAAATAGTGAAATTTATCATACTATAGTTTACAATGAGAGTTTCTTGGCTGTGGGTTTATTTCTTTACTGCTCTAAAAAAAAATCTACCAAGTATGAAGCAGTGTCACAAATAACTAGAATTTAACTAAACATGTATTATGGCACACATTTTTAAAACTGAAAGTTATATTTATAAAGTAGCAAAATTCTGAGATTGTAATCAATACCGTTAAATGAGATCAATATATCAATTTAAAAGGAGGGAAAATATGGAAAAATTTTGACAATAATAAAAATTTACCAAAATTTGATAAAAATCCGAATTTTTTTTTTTTTTTTTTCTTATTTTTGCATAAAAAATAATTTTTGTGACATTTGGACACCGTAAAATACGCATACTCGTAATTAAGTTAAGTTGCACAAATACTCTTTTGCTAGAATCTTTGTTTTTAGCGAAACTTAGATGGTATTATACCACAAATTTAAATTTTCGTCCTCATTTCACAACAGAATAAAGTATTCCTTTTCTTCAATTTCTTATATTTGTATTAGGGAGTATTGCATATTAGAAGCTGCGGAAAACGAATGTTTATTGCCATGAAAATTTTTATTGTCAAAAGTTAACGATTCGTGCTGCTTTGTCTTATTGTCAAAAAGTGGTAGGAATACATCAAACCCACTTATTAACTTTCGCGTTTTGGCAGGGCGTCGATCCGTGACGTCATGTTTTGAAGTTTGAACTCCTTTTGGGTTTGAGGTCGACCCATTTGCAGACCGGTTTCTTGCATCTTCGTCGCTCTCTCACTTGCTCATTCATTTACTCAGTCAGTATTCGCTATGGTCAGCTGACGGCACAGAATGAACGGCGAACGCCAAAGGAATTACGGATGCCACGCGAACCTTCTAGTGAATATAATCATCTTGCTCATATTTACGAGTGAGTTTTTTCTTTACTATATTTATGATCGCATGAGAAATTAAGAGACATCAAAGTCAAACATACTGTGTATCTTTAAAGTAAAATGCCATCTGTATTTAGCCTGAAAATGACATTTGCTCTTTAAACTATTTAATGCAGAAAATCTTTTGGCAGTTCTTTTTAATTTTTTTAATGGCATTCTTATACAGAGACAGTGAGCTTTCATAATTCCATTTCATTTTGTTTGAAAGACAATATCGGGCAGTCAGTATAATATGAAAGATCTATAGTGAGTGGTTAATCTTCCTGCTTGTCATTCATTGCTGTATTTTTATTCTTGTCGAGATATGAGTCATTGTAATAGGATAATATTATATCATTTCGAATTGCAAATATATATTTTACGATTTAGCTTTATTTTCATTGTACCATTTAGCATAATTAAATTAAGATTGTTCAATAAATTAATTTTTTCATGTTCTTTATTGACTTTTTTAGTTCAATTTTGTATTGTTTCAAAAAAGATTTCTTTTCAGCTGTTATAATAAGCTGTTTATACATAACTGTAATTGTCAATTAATCTTCTCCCCCCCTCCAAATTTTTTCTCCCGAATTTAACCCGGTTTTATACTGGCATTTTTTCAAGCTGTTTCATGCCAGAAAGAAGGAGAGGGATTGGATATGTAATGATACTTGTGATACATTGATAGATAAAATTTTTTTAGAAGAAAAATAATTATGTGATTGTTACATTTTTTATAATTTTGCCTCAAATTATACCATAACATTGTGGTAAAATTGTAAATGTTCTTTCTTTTCGTGCGCCTAAATATTAGTTTGCGTGTGTAAGTTGGGTATGTTAAGGGGGGAGTTCGTCTTATGTTTGGATCAATAATATACTGTATAATCAGTTAGTTGTAGAAATTGTAATATTGCTTTAAAATAGAATTCGTTAAATATTTTTTCCTGCAAATAATAAAGGTACAGAGACCAAGTAATATTCTTCTCAATAAATACAGACGTAACTGCGTGAAGTTTGATGCCCGAGTACCTAAGGCCAATAACACACTAGTTAAAACTTTGAAAATTCCAATAAAATTTCTTTATTCTTATTAAAAGTTTCTTTAGGCCCCTACTCCCGTGCGTCTAAAATTTTACTGTATAATGATGCATCTTTATTTTCCAGCAGCATTCGTGTTGTTTTAGTTATCACAGTAAAGTATTTTCTTATCACAGTAAAGTATTTTCTTACATGCATAGTCTTAAATTTCTTATGTGCATAGCCTTGCGATTTCATGAAGACTAACGCATGGATTTTTCTAATAAAAACTCACGTCTGCAGCTGAAGAAAATTTACATTTCTAAATTTCTAAAAGTCTGCATTCTTATTTGATGCTTTTATAAATATTTAGGATAGAAGTATAGACATTAAAGACAAAAAATTCTGAGAATGTTGTCATTTTTTTAAAACTCTTTTTGGTGGGAGGGAGCTAAAAATGCCGCTAGTTTGTTTTTCAGAGTTTAATTTTATATAGTTATACATTATGTAGATATTTATACAGTTAATATAGAACGAATAAAAATTTTTCATGTTGTTGAATGTTGTTACAAATCTCCAGTTAATTCATTAATATATGCAAATGTCAAATTTTAGTGGAATTGCTTAGTGAGTTACTATTTAAAATACATTTTAAAATTAACAGGTTGTAATATTTACAATCTATAACATCCAATAAATAAAAAAAAAATTGTACTAAATAAAAATGTAAGCTAACAAAAAAATGACAAAAATGTTAATAGACACTAAATATAACAAAATTTTCTGATAATTGTTAAATTTGAGCAGAAACGTTATTAAATATATTTTACCCAGTGACATTTTTTTTATTTATAAAGGGAATACCAAGTTATTTCGGCAATTTCATCATTATCAGAAAAATTTGTATACGAATGTTATTTTAAAATTATTAATTACTTCTATGAACAATTGGTATATTTGATATTTGTTCACAAAAGATCATTGTTTGAACACTGAAGGTTCGACTGTGCTTATATACAGTTAAATATTACTATTACCACTTAAATGTAATCATTCACTGAAAATTCAAAATTTACTTTGCACTTTACGTTATGACATTTGTGAAGATAACAGTCGTAGCTACTTTTCTGTTAATCGGTTGCCAGTGCTTGCCGAAAGTGCAGCAAATATAGTAATTTATTTATATATCCCTTCATGAAATAACTGTGCAGGGTTTACGTGCGTAATGCTAATGTTGTGTGCATATTAAACATTGTATATATTATATAATAATTACTGTTATTACAAGTTTTTTTTTTCTCTCATGAAACTTTACGTTGCGGCAATCTAGTTAGATTTCGCGCCAGCTTTTTATATTTGGAGTTAAGTGGCGCCCGGTCAACAGAAAAGTAAACAACTGCATGTTTTAGTATTGCAACGTTGTGAATGTCTTCTGGTTATCATGCATTTATACCTTTTAGAGGGAGGGAGAATATTTCTAATGAGCAAGTCTGTAACTGTAACAGGTTAAATCTATCAGATCTTACTACAAGTATAATTGTTTTTAAAGGATTTCAGAAAGAAAGCCTTTAATGGGCCTTTGAAGTTAGCAACAAAAAATGTACTAGGTTCAGCATACGGAGGAAGCAAGAATTACTTTGATTACAACGTAAAATCTTTAGATATATGTCATGTAAACCGACCAGCGGCCGAATGGAAAGAGACTGCTGAACATTAGTCGTTTGCCTCGTAATCGGTTGTTGTTGAATGAAGGCTACGTAGGCGTTTAATGGTTTTTCCGTACATATAATGCAAACATGAACCAATTATGGTTTTCCCTACATATAATTGAAACAAGTCCTCCACTAAGGTACCCATCCTGTAAAGCCTCCAAGCTGCTCAATAGCGGCAGAGAGGTAAAGTCACTGAACTCTGGCAGTTTGACCTTGGTTCAATTCCAGGCGAACAAGCTGGCTTCGTAGACGTTTTCATGGATTAATCTTGTATAGCATGGATACGAGCCAGTTCCTTTAGAAAGTGCTTCACGAAGGCATTCCTTCCTATAGGTAGATAGCCCTTGTGTGCTTTCTCATAACCAAGTAAGCTAAACCAGACTAAACTTGAAGCGTTTACGAGCTTTACTGTAATTGATGTGCAGTACGTATAAAAGTGTGTGTTTGACATGGCAAGAGAAATTAAAATACATTTCTCTCCGTTATTCATATTTATTGTTGTACGAGTATGCGCGGGAAAATACAGATAATCTAAAATTGAATGGTAAAACTGTAATTAACGGTATTGTAAAACCTGCACCTGGGAGGTTTTCAGAACGATACGCGCTGAATTTGTTTCAAACGGTAATATTGCTAAAATCGGTTTAAAATTTTCAGTTTATCACCTAAGGAAACTTTGCTTATTAGTCTAATAGGGCTAATAATCAATATACGAAAAACGATTTTGCATTAACTGTAAATGTTTTGATTCGCTTTTCAATCGAGTTTTTGCTACTTGGCAAAATGTAAGATGTTTATATTTCAGATTTAATCCGTCTTTTGTTGATTAACAAACTAAGCTGTTTAAAAGCTATGGATGCAATTCTTAAGCATATTGTATTTTACTTTTTAATCGAATTGATTTAAATAAAAATTCATTTAATTCATGATATAGCTAACTAAAAACTTTAAATATTTTTATGGAATTATGTTATATATATTTTTTAACGTTTGAAATGTGCAGAAGATATGACGTTCTCATTTTGGCTAAATATATGTTCATCTAGCATCCTATACAATGTTTCACTATTTCACCTGCATCATCTCTATTTATAAATCTCTACTAATAAACCACATTAAACTTAAAAACAGCCTTTTCGGGCAACTCAAAGTCTGAATACTTTTGGATTTATTTTTTTAATTTTTAATTAGCTTTTCCCACCGAAAGTTGGCATTTTTTAATGTAATATCAAACACGGCGAATCTCTGCCTCATAAAATGCCTCATTGTGACCCTTTTGCTATTTCACCTTCATTTCTATTATCCTATTTATTCTCGTTGTGAATCATTGCATCAAGAAGTACTTTGGTGTGATTAACTTTTAAATCTGCGCTGATCCACCTGCACTTCTGAATTTACCACATTTACATTATATATTATTCCGAAATCCTTCAGTGCCAGAAATAATTTAAACGAAGCCCAGTAAGCTTCTTGTGCAAAAACCTTTCAGTGCTACAATATTAGAGGTAATTTTCTCCTATTTGTTGAAAAATTACAACTTTGGACTTCATTGCAAGCTTTATAAATAAGATTCATTGCATGAGAAATCATGGACTTCTGTCGCAAGCTATTTATCATTTTCAGTTACCAGCTTGAGAACTTTTCGCGGGATGTTTTCTTGATGCGCAGAATGTATAATATGCCCATGAATTCAGAATTACTCTAGCGGTAGACTAACAAAAGTTTATAAATTCTAAGAAGGGCAATCACTCGAAGTTTAGATTTTCTTGAAACATTCCATCATCCTGCAAGTTCTTATTTCAAGTTAAAAGCAATAAAGAAATAATTAAAATATTTTTTTCCCTAAATTTCCAAGGAAAAAAAAAATATTTTACTAAAAGTAAACTTAAGATTGCTAAACTTTAATTGGTACGACTAATTTTTTTTTTTTTTATAGTAGTAAAACACTTGCTCAAAACTATAATTCAAAGCTTTTTGATTTCTTAAAATCCGCATATCAAATTTTATTCCAATTCGAATGCAGTTTTTCAAAAATTAATTTCTTATTATATCGGGATATTTCAAACATTTATTACTTAATAAGAAAATTTTATAACTTAATGAATGTCAAGTAACATTCTTATTGTACTTTATTGGAAACAAATACAAAATGTTTGATATAGTTTCATATTATGTTACCCTTTATACAGACATCATATAAAATATGTAAAGCAGCAAATTTAAAAAATGGATTGACATTACTCATCACAACCTGTTAAACGGGGAGA